ACAGCAGCTTTAAACCCTGCCCTGTCCTGACACTACCCCATTTCCCCAGTATTTAACTGTATAAATCCATCTTATCTGGGGCCTTCCTCTCCTGTGCTGTCCCTTCATATTTCTAAGTATGAAGTTCTTCTCCAAGGACCGGTCTCTCCAGGCCACATGCCCAAAGTATGTGAGATGGAGCTTCAAAATCCTAGCTTCCAAGGAGAAACTGGGTTTCACCCTCTCCAAAACAGACCTATTTGTTTTCTTGGCAGTCCACAGTATGTTCAAGACTATTCTCCAGCACCACAATTTGAAGGCATTGATTATTCTTCTGTCATCCTTAGTCACTGTCTTACTCTCTGAAGCTTAACTAATTGTGAAGACCATGGCCTGGAACAGATACACCTTAAGTCTCTAGGCTGACATTGTTGCTTTTCAGCACTCTGAAGAGGTCCCTGAGAGCAGATTTTCCCAATGATTTCCTGACCACTGGTGTTAAAAATATAGACTGTCGAGCTGAGTAAACTGAATTATTAACAACCTTACTCTCTTCTCCATCTATCATGGTGCTCCCAATCGGCCCGGCGGTAAGAATCTTTGTCTTCTTGATGTTGAGGTTCAATCCATATTGAAGACCTCTCAGTCCTTGACCTTCTGCAGCAAGCAATTCAGATCTTCTTCAGTTTCAGCAAGTAATTTGCCTAACATAGGCTGTTGATGTGTCTTCCTCCAATCTTAATGCCACAGTCCTCCTCATAATATGTTCTGCACACAGATTGAAAAAATATGGAGACAAGACACATCCCTGATACACTCTGTGTTGTCATTGAAAATTTACTTCAAAGCAAATAAAGATGGGAAGGAATGTAGAAATCATTTGGTCAAATTACTTCTTTCTGAAAATGAGAAAACTGAAGGAAAAAAAAGATTAAAAACTGGCTTGAATTAGGATGTGTTAAGGACACAATTCTTTAACTTCCAAATCAATGTGCTTCCTACTATTCTCAGTCTGAGCAGTGATTCAAATTTATCTAAACTTCTCGTTTTTATTTCTGAATTTAAAAGAAAACAAAACAACACAAACCACAAACCACCACCAAAAAAACAAATGACTAACATAGTACTCCAACTATAAATGTATGGAGGCATTTTGATGAAAGAATTATTTTTGCTTAAATTTTATAAAATAGGTCATTAAGCAGTGGAGATAAATGCCACAGCAACAGCGATAAAATCTAACAAAAATCATTCCTATACAGACTGAAATGTCTAAAAAAATAAAATTACCTGAATATCTTGAAGACAAATTTCATAAGCATCCAGTGAACACTGTAGTCTTGGTTCTAGTAGTTTCTTTAAGTTGCCTATTGGCTCATTGATGTCTATCGCCTGGCTTACACATTCTGCTGGGGTGTAGGTTTGTTCTACAATGCTAAATATTAAAGGACATGATGGTTAAGAAAGACAAATGAATCAAATATTCAAATTACTATATACTATAAGCCAAGCTAAAGATCAAGACTCAGCATCCTACTCAAATCTTAGAAATAGCTTTGTCCATTCCTACTATACCTGTTAAACCTGTATTCTCAGAAGTTCTTGTCTTCTACTTTCAGTTCTTTTTACTTGCAGAGCTTTACTATAAACCATTATTTTACTCATCCTCCTTTGCTTACTCTTAAATTGTTTTTCCACTCATATTCTCCCCTTGGATTTTAAACTCATTACTGTCTTCCTTCTTTAATAGAAATTCTAATAGCAAAATGACCATCTTTCCTTGTACTGTATGCTCTACTGTGCACACATAATTACTCATATACCTATAAAAATCCAAAAAAATTCAGTCACTGAACCAACTCAAAGCTGATGTTCCAGCTGGTATTTGGAGGCTACAAATCACATAGGAAGAAACTTTCCATTTTTCTCCCACAGAGCTGCTGGTGGATTCAAATTGCCAGAGGTGTTAACTTTGGGCTAGCAGCACCAGAGCTCCTTGCAAGCACCTTCAAATGCCACGCAACCTCTAAGAGGGCACGTATTGCCACACTTATTCAGAGATTCCTGAAGGTTACTAGCTAATAACAGTTACAGACACTTATCAAATTCAGTGAGAATTGCATTAGGTTGTTATTCCCAAAATAAAAATAATCAGCAATAAAGGAAAGAACAAAAACTAAATCCTGCCTCAGGGGAAAGATCACAATCAATAGCTTGATTATTATCAACTACATTTATTACTTGTTGTAAAATATTGAGATAAGGGGGGACAAAACCACAAAAACAAACTATAAGAATCCAAAAACTAGAGTTCAATTTATTAGAAATACTGATAAAAACTGCTAAATTACAGTAATACCAACCTTTCTTCTGTGCATTCCGGTTTCTCTGTTCCATCAATCTCAATTTCTATCAACTCCTCTGCTTCTCTTTTAGTCATGGCTGAAGAGTTTCAAGAGAGCAGACCTTTAGGAATCAAAATTAAAACATTTGAAATTACCTTCTTGTTACTATGTGCCATAGAGTCATTTGCAACTCACAGTGATCCAATGCACAACAGCTCTGAACTCTTCTTTATCCTGATCCAACCTCATCATCTGACACATCTACCTCCATTACCCCAGTAACTAAGTCAATCCATCTCACTGAGAGACTTCCTTGTGCTGTCCCTCGCCCCTCCCCACCAAGATGATTTCCTTCTCCAAGGACTGGTCCCTCCTTGTAACATACCCAAAGAATATTATATGGAGCTTAAGAATCCTTGCCTCCAAGGACTGGTTTTACCCTCTCTAAGACAAACTTGCAGCCTAAAACTGCAGCCAAATTTTTTTTCATGGTAAAGACTGCTTTATTGGTGACAGTTAGTGCAAGTCAATAAATACTGATCCCCAAAGAAGAGCTCTTTTCATCAGATTACTGGTCCATAGGGCACGGAATTAAACTGAAGCCAGAGCTGGGATGATAATTTGAAGTCAATCCTGCTTCTTGGGAAACGAAGCCACAGCCATCTGATATATGGCATATGCTGTTCCGCCAACTGTAAGAAGCATGGTGGCTCTATACAGGAGGGTATCAGCTATCCCACCCTTTAGATACACTGGAATTCCATTATCCTCCTGAAACAGCTTTTGTTTTTCTCGAACTTTATTTTCAAACTGTCTGCGTTAACTAACCTTCCAGTTAAAAAGAATCTTCTGAAACTGAAACATCACCTTCCTTTTTTAACCTTAACCTGCAGATAAAACATCATATCTCCTTTTTGCAGTAAATAATCCCACTTAGCCTCCAGACTAAACATCACAGGTAAAGGGATAAAGCTCCTATAGCTCCTTCCTTCTCCACCCAGCTCCCTAACCCATTCCAGTACATCATGCTCTATTGAAACTCAGTCAACCAATTCCTACAAAATATAAATCCTATGCAACAACACCCTTCTTTCTCTTTTACTGAACAGGTTTAAGAATTTTATTTCATTTTTCCTTAAAGCATTTTCTACCCACTTTAAATTTTTCAGTGTTCAGAACTGAAAATATTTTCAAATTTATCTCTTCCTTTTTGTTTTATGATTAATATAGTACTAACTTACAGCTCATACATTTTGTATATTTTAAAATTATCAATTGAAAACGTGTAGGCTCCTTTTCCAAAGACACAACAACCTATATCAAAGAGTTTTTGTACCTAACCCAGACCTATGATCTCACCTGGCATGACCTTTCTATTGTACTATCCTCTATTCTGATGCTCGATGAAAAAAAGAGCATGTTCTCACTGTCACTCAGCAGCACAAAGACCAAGTAAATTTAATGGACAGTTCCATGCATTAGCCCCAAACCCGTCCCCCAGCAAGAAACAAATTGAACAAACCAAATTAATACAGCAGCAAAAAGAGATGGTTGAGCCAGGTATGACCGTACGATTCAGTGTCTGTTATCTGGTCTACATTGTCATCTCCCATAAAGCAGTCAATTTTGATAAGCTCAGAGAGATTACACACGCTAAAGATGAGAATCCAGTTGCTTTCTCTAAGTGTCTCACGGAAGCCTTGACTCAGTATACCCGCTTAGACCCCACCTCCCCAGCAGGGGCCATAGTTCTAGCTACTCATTTTTATCACTCAATCAGCTCCTAATATCAAAATGAAATAAAAAAATGGCCCCCAAACACCCATTTGAGACCTGGTAAACACAGTTTTTAAAGTTTTTAATGAGAACAGGCAGAGGCTGATAAGGAGACTCATGCCCTCCAGAAAGTGAATCTGCAGACCCAAGCCCTGATAGCTGCCCTACAGGCAGTGGCAGTGGTTAGTGGTCAGAAAACACCTCCTTGTTCAATGATCCAGTTACCTCCTGGTGCATGCTTCAAGTGTGGCAAAGAAGGTCATTGGCTAACCGCTGCCCTGCCCCTCGCCCTCCAACATGGCCTTGCCCTATCTGTGGGCCACTGGAAGGCTGACTACCCTTTGGCGCCTAGCTGTGGCAGGTCCCCAAACCAGGTCCCCATCCCAGCCAACCTCTTAGACCTGGCTGCTGACGACTGAAGATGCCCAGGTTCAACGAGCCCCATTACCACTGCAGTGGCCAGGGTAACCCTTCAAGTAGCAGGTAAGCCAGTTTTTCCCCTGGTTGACATGGGGGCTACCTTTTCAGTACTCCTTTCCTTCTCAGTTCCTATTTTCCCTTCCCAGGTCTTTGTAATAGGGATTAATAGCCTCCCTTTTAAGCCTTTTACCACTCAACTCCTCTTCTTTACCTTGAACAAACAAGTACTCACTCATTACTTTCTAATTATCCCTACATGCCCACCCCGGTTGTTAGGTAGAGAATCTCCTGTCTAAACTTGGAGCTGTGTTTCACTGGGAACCAAGCGAACCTAGTTCATCTGCCAGCCTTCCTTTTAGCGCTCCATCCCTCTGAGCCCCTTTCTATACTACCTCTATTACCAGACACTGTAAATGCTGTTGTATGGGATCTTTCCACTCCAACTGTAGCCTCTCACCACCAACCTGTTCTTGTTACTCTGAAAGACCCCTCCTCTTTCCTGCCAGACTCCAAGTTCCTATCTCTGCACAACACTCTAAAAGTTTTAAAATCCATTATTACTTGCCTATTTTCCAATAAGCTTCTTACCCCTAGTGTTCCTTGCAATATGTTAATGATCTTTTATTGTGTAGCCCCTTATATAAACTTTCATGAATTCACAGTGTTCAACTTCTTAACCTCTTGGCCCCCAGAAGATACAGGGTATCCTCCTCCAAGGTCCAACTGTCTCTCCCCACAGTCACATATCCCAGTTTTCAATTGAGTCTCACCACTAGCCAAGTCACTGAAAGCCTCCAGCCACCTAAAACTGCTGATCAAATCCTCTCTTTTCTCAGCTGCTTTATCTGTTTCCTTAGACACTAGATTCCCAACTTTCCTTACTAGCAAAATCCCTTTATGATATGGCAAAAGCCATCTCACAAGGAAATCTAGATTCATCCCAGCATTGCCAGATCCATCTAAACCTTTCTATCTATAATTGATGAAAAACAGGGTATTGCTGTTGGCATCTTAGCTTAGCCTCTTGGCTAAAACAAAACAAAACAACAAAAACCCTGAGGATGTTGTTGTTTTTATGTGCCATCAAGTTGGAACCAAGTTACAGCTTAACCTCCAGTGAGTTGTTAGAGACAGTAAATTGCACAGGAGACTGTCCCTCTTTCTCCAATGGAGCACCTGGTGGATTTGAAACTTGAGCCTTTGTGTTGTCAGTGAAGTTCCTTACCACGAGGCCACTATTGTTGTTGTCTGTAGTAATGTGTGAACCAACCCACAGCTGACTCTCCAGTGGGTTTTCAAAGGCAAGAGCTCTCAAAACCAGGAGATAATTTTTTTTTGTTGCCAGGTGCTGTCAAGTAATACTCAAAGTGACCCTGTGAATGAGAGATTTGAACTCTGTCCTAGCCTTTGTCATCGACACCATCTCTGACAAAACTGAGCCCCCCCATTTATCTTGTTGAGGGTCTTCCTCACTCTTGCTGACCTTGCAAGAATGACATACCTTTCCAAGGAATCGTCTCACCTAGCAACAAGCCCAAGTATGAGTCAAACCTTAGGCATTCTTGTCTCCAAGGAGCAAGCACTCTAGCTGTACTTTTTCCAAGACCTATGGTTAAAGTGCTCGCTTTCGGGCTCCGAGGGAGGGGACCGAGGAGCGCTGCGCGGGACAACGCGGGGGACACGGCGCGTGGCCGGCTCGCGGGGGGAGGGGGGGGTGTGCCGCCCCCCCAAACCACAGCGACAGACGCGTGACATGAAGGCGGCGGCGCTGGGGGGGCAATGCGGGGCGGGTGTGGAGGGGGGGAAGGGCTCGCGCCAGGTAGACGGAGGTGCCATCACGGGCCAGGACCGGGAGGGGGTTCGCACACCCCCGCCCACGCAGGACGCACCCCGCCAGAGAAGCCTCGATGCGCCCGGCCGCGGGACCCGCCACGCCGGTCTAGCACGAGGGGCCAGAGCCGGTGGTATGCATAGGAATCAGATCAACTACATCTGTGGAAGGAACCACTGGAGAAGCTCAATATCAACTGATTGTGGAACAGACCACCAATTACTCATACGCAAGTTCACGCTGAAGCTGAGGAAAATTAAACCAAATCCACAGGAGCCAAAATATGACTTTGATTTCATACCACCTGAATTTCAGAATCATCTC